TAGGCTTTGGAGAAATGTCTGTTTGAAACATTTGTCCATTTACATTCTCCTTTGTTATTGTATGAGTTCTTCATAAATTCTAGACATTAATGCCTTCCCAAATACATGATTTGAAATATTTTCTCTTGTTCTGTGGGTTGCATTTCATTCTGTTAATGGTGTTCTTTTTTTTTTTTTAATGTATGTGTGTGTGCGTGTGTATGTGAGTGTGTGAGTGTGTGTGGGGTGATTTAGGCAGGGCTTCATGGTACTGTGATCATCCTTCTTTGGCCTCCCAAGTAGCTGGGACTACAGGTGCATGCTACCACCCCTGGTTATTTCATTCATGTCTCACTGTTTCGTCCATGCTGTCTGCAAACTAGCAGCTCATAGTCTTAGCCTCCTGAGTAGCTGGGACTACGGGCTCGCACCACCGTGCCTGGTGTTAGGGCAGACTGGAAACTGAGCGGCGTCGTGGATGTGGCCTCGGCCCCCTGAGAGCAGTGCCTGGGCCATGGCTGGACCCACGGTGTCCCTAGATGTAGCAAAAGTGTAAATTTTAATGTAGCCCAGTTTGTTTTTTCTTTTGTTGCCTGTGTTTTTGATGTCACATCCAAGAATTTGTTGCCAACTGCAATGTTATGAAATTTCCCCTCTATGTGTATGTCTCAGAATTTTTTTTAGAGTCTTACCTATTAAGATTGCCAATCTTTTTAGAATTAATTTTTGCATATGCAGTAAGAGTCCAATTTAAACTTTTTGTTTTGCATGTGGATATCCAGTTTTCCCAGGGTCATTTGTTGATGATTGTCCTTTCAGCATGGCTGTCAAGTCATTTGATCATATATGCAAATGCTCTTACTGATGTAATAGATCAGACTGGCATTAAGGTGTGACTGATAGACAGCATTAACATTAAAAAAATTTCTTTTGGAGAGGTTTGTGCTATAGGGCGTGTGTGCTCACTAGAAAGACAGAGAGACAGAAAGTGAGAAATCACCTCCCAGGGGGGATGGCCACGTCACAATCCCTTCTCCTCCATTCTCCGAGTCCTGGGATCTTGGGCACGCATGCACACGCGCCCGGCGTGAGTTTAAGCCACTGGGTCCAGGACTCGAACCGCGGTTGACTACATGGGAGTCCAGTGACAAAGCCATTATGCCACCTGCTGGTCCCAGTATTAACATATTTTTAAAAAGGAATTGGTTAATTCCAAAGTAATTTATATTTGGTACAGAAAGCGAGGGAGACTTGTGTTGCGATATTCTCTCAGGAGACTGTCAGTGTGTAACACCCAGTTCTGATACATTGTCACCCCTTGCACTGAGCCAGTGATTTTCAAAATGTTTAGCATCAAAACCCATTCTTTTCCCCAAGTCCTAGGACTTATTTTGTTTCTACCAATAATTAGTATTTTGCTGTACATAATCATCTGAAAAATCGATGTGTAATACCTGCCTACTTTTGCTAACTGATGGCAACTCAGTTTGTGCGTTTGCAATTTGCATGTGTCAGCATGTGTCCATGTGACAGTTTAAAAATACCTGCCTGTTACCGTTTTAAAGTTACTGTGTGGAAACGCCTTCCAGCAAGTGCTCGCACTACATGGAGCACTCCGCCGTGGAACTTATGAAAAATGAGCTGGGACCAGCAGATGGCATAATGGTTATGTCACTGGACTCCCACGTAGTCAACTGTGGTTCAAGTCCTGGACTGGGTGCCTTAAAACTCAGTCCAGGCACGTGTGCACATATGCCCAAAATCCTGAGAAGAGAGTGGAGGAGAAGGGACTGCGGCTTGGCTTGGCCATCCCTCCCCCTCCCCAGGGGGTGATTTCTTGCTTTTTGTCTCTGTCTCTCTGGTGAGCGCACCCACCCAATAGCAAAAATCTCTAAAGAAAATTAAAAAATAAATAACTGAGCTAATTAGGTTCACTGGGTGTTTATGGAGCAGCAGTTTCTCTGTGCAAAGTTGTACAGCTGTCAAGGAGAGGAGGTCTTGACCTGAGTATTGAAATGGAGACTGACTGAGCAGCCCAGCAGCTGAGGGACCCATTCCCCTTTTGCTGAATATCCCAGGATGCGTGTGCAAAACTTCACCGTGTGCGTGAGTCCTGAAGGGCTTACACTTACAACAGATCGTGTATTTTATAATACTGAGAGTGAACGGGTAGCAGCGTTTCTGTGGTTTTAGAGTAAGTATTTTAACTTTGTAGTGGAAGTCATTTTTGGGTTTTAGTATTCTTAGATAAAGCCAGGTCTTCAGGAAACATCACTTTTTTTGTGTAGCTCCTTTTCGGAGTGGTGCACCTCTTACACATTTACTGTGTCGGTATTGAAATGTACTGGTTTTTAAAGCTGTAGCCTTTATTTAGTTGCTGTGCAGTGGAATTAAGTAATTTTTGTAGAATCCAAATGTTCAGAAAGTGGTGTATTTGGCTGATACTTTAAATTTAGCAATACTAAGAGATAATCCTGTTCAAATTATAATACAAGAGTTAAAGCCTTTTATATTTGGCTTTGTTTTTTGAATGTTTTTGTGCTCTTTTTTGAGAGGGCAGATAAAAATGAGTGCATACTGACTGTCTTTGTTGTGAGCTGAGTGGGTAAACAGAGTCCCTTTATCCTCCGTTCCATCTAATGGGGATGCATTTTGACCTAATGTTCCAACAACTTCCCGATGTGTGTAAAACTGTTTCAGATGGTTCTAAACAGTAGTTGTCCATCTTAGACATACTTTACGTTCTTTATTTGTCAATTGGGTTAATAACGTTGGCATTAAACCAGTCTTACTTATTGCCTGCCTAATGGGAGTGTTCTGTAGAAGATAAAAAGTAGGGACTTTGGGGGCTAGCAGGGGGCATGGGGTTAAGGCACTGGACCCCACTTGGTCAACTGCACGGGTGGTTTGAGTCCCAGAGCCATTGGCCTGAAAATCACAGCAAGCGCACGTGTGTGTGTGTGTGTGGGTGTGTGTGTGTGCGTGTGTGTGCGTGTGCGTGTGTGCGTGTGCGTGTGTGTGTGTGTGTGCGTGTGTGTGTGCACGTATGCTCAAAATCACCAGGGGAGAATGGAAGAGGAGGTATTGCACTGTAGCATGGCCGGCACCCTAGGGGGTGGTTTATCTTTCCCTCCCTCCCTCCCTCGCTCTTTTCCCTGCGAGCGCACTAGCACTTGTGCTGTACAGCAAAAACAAACAAACTAGGGAGTTTTAAAAAATCCCCTTTATATCGTTAGGAATTAAAAAACTCTAAGAGAGTTAGAGTGATTTGAAGATAATACAGTATAAAGTATTTTAGAAATTAAGGAAAAGCTAAAACCCATTAGGTCTATTTTAGTTCTATTAAGTCTGGCATGCTTAATTTATTCTTTATAAGTAAATATTGCTGGGACATTTTGTCAGATTTACAGATTTCCTCTCCATTTGTGTGTGAGGGGCAGACACCATTTCCCGATTTATATAAAGCTGCATCTCCCTTTATCATATGGGGACATGGCAGTTCCTAAACTCACAGCCACAAGTTTAGTTTTACGAGTCCTAGAGCTTGAAGGTTTTTCCTTGTGAATGTAACAAGAGGGGTTGCTGTATGCCATTGCTGCACGGGTGGTTTGAGTATTAATTGCTATTTCAGTATGCCTCTAGCATATTTTCAGTGGCTTTTTTTTTTATAAAAACAACTGTGCCATTAATATGCTGAGACTCATTTAGTGAGTTCTTTAAAATTCAAATGAACAAAGTACCTCCCCATTGTCTGCTACTGGTAGGGAGTGTTCAGACAGCCACTTGTTTAGGGGCGTTACCTGGAAACCCCACACTTGCATGCTTGCCATAGGCAGAGGGTGGGGACAGAGAAAACTGGGTGTTTACTGCTCTTATTTATTTATTGTTCGCATTTCTGTCTAATCACCACGTGGCCAGTCTTCTGCGAGGACAAGTGAGCCCCTGTCATCAGAGCTGCTCCGTACAGACCCGCTCAGGGGTGGAAAGAACATCTGAAGTGAAAGAAAAGTTTCCGAAAAGCCCTCATTTTTTCTTAGCTAGATTAGTGATGTGAAAAATACTGTGGTCTCTTCAGTGTTTCAGGGCATGAGTTTTGGTACAGGAGAAAAACATTCCTGGTTAAAGGATTTGGTGAAAGCACTCGTGGTTTGGAAATGTTTCTGAATGACTGAATTTGGTGAGAGAAAATCTGGGATGACTTTTCTTTTCTTAGGGAGATGCTTTCCCTTGATTCCATCCGGCCCACACCACCTCACACCCTGGACTTCAGCCCTGCTCCCTGCTCCCTGCTCCCTGCTCGGCCTTTGTTCCCCTCTTTGGCTTGTTCAGCTCTAGTTCTGCCTATTCTAGGCTATTACAATTACAAAACGAAGAAGTGGAACCTGTTTTCTCTGAGGACTGTGGTGCGCAGCCCTGCCCAAGGCTCCCTAAGTTTCTAGTAGCTTCTTCCACCTTCTGGGAGCGTCCCCCGGGGACTGCCCTGTCCCGCACTGGCAGTCTTGTCTCCCTCCTGTCTCAGTCAGGCCAGCGCATGGGGCCTCTGGTCCCTGTTCCCGGAGGAGGTAGCAGCATCGCTGCCATATAACCCTCCTTTCGGATTCATTATTGGTTAATTTTTGGGGAGTAACTCTTGCTTTGATTCATTATTCAGCTCTAATCATAGTATTTTATTGTGCTAGAATAGATTTTGGAGGTTGCTGTTAGCACAGGAAAGTGTAGGCATTTATTTTTAAAATGGGAGCTTAAGGTGGACAGCTTAAACAATTCAGCGCTGGACTTTCATGCTTAAAGAGTAAAGTGCAGAGATAAAGCAGTGGTACTCGAATTCTAAATTCTGCTAAGGTGTTTATCAGTTATAGAATAAGGAGCTGATGTTTTGAGGCTCTTTTCTGTTTACGGTAAATTTCATAGGTTTGCGATTTCTCATCTAGGGATAGTCATTGTCACATTTTAAAGGGAGAACTTTTAGATTTATGACGGTGTTAAAGCTTCTAATAAATTCCTTCATGTTTAATCATGTACAGTTTGTATGACAGAGAAAGATAAGGATGAGGAAAACCCCGGGAAGCCAAGTCAAGGCTTCCAGCAGTGTTAGAAGGAGCCTGAGCCATGCGGTGAGGACTCCCAAGGCTGTGTCTGCTGCTGTCCTGCGCGTCCGGCTGGGATTTCCATTCCTTTATGCCCAGGTAAACAAATTATTTTATTCCACAAAGAGATTTCATAACGTAGGGTTGCAGTGTGAACGGAAGGCCGTGGCCTTCAGCTGTGCAGTGCTGCAGGCCCCCATTGCCAGGCGCAGTCAGGGCAGGCCTCACAGCCCAGCTTGGCGCAGGAACGGGGACAGAAGTTTGTCTGTAACTACCATGGAGCGGAGGACAAAGACGCCAGTGACCTCTGAACTAGTGGCTGTGCATCTGAACGAGGAATTGTTTGAGACTGGGAAAAGCTGCCAGTAGGCTTGGGATATGCTTTCTCCTTGTTTTCTACAGAATTGTTGAATGACCCTACTCCAGAAAAACAAAAAGCCAAAACACAAAACATAACACAAAAGCTTAATTGGAAGAAATTCTTCCTGGTTTTTGAAGAATCTCATGTCTGCACAGCAAAATCTAATTAGATATTCATATTCCGAAGTGACAGTCATTAAAAATATCGGCTCCCCTTACAAAAATGGCAACACTAATTGCTGGGTTTGTGCAGGGAGAGGCTGGGAGGGGCTGGTCCCTCCCTCCGCTGCGCTGTGCTCTCTCTGAGCACTGTCTTCAAGGCCTTAGTGGTTCAGAGGCCTCAGTATCTGGGTCATGCTAATCCTCCGCTTTCTTTTCACATTGTTTCTTTTGCATTGTTTAAATGTTGCGCATTATTTGGTGAATGACACTCATAAATAACTGTCAAGTGAGTGAGTGAAGTAATACATTCAGAGGAGCTTTGTCTTTTGTGTGAGAAAGTAGGAATAATGGTATCTACAGTACTTTTTAAATCCTCTTTCTCTCCCAAGATGGTTAGTGAAAATCTAGTCGCCTCTCTCAAAACGGTAACGCCATAAATCCAGCATCTCTTTTCGGGTCCTAAAATAGCGCAGCCTTTGTGTAGACCTGTGCAGCACTAGCCAGTGTTCAGCTGGGTCCAGATTACAAGGCTTTATAGCAAATCTGTTGTCCTCGGGAACGGCTGAGGAATCAATGCTAATCTTTCCATTTTGGTGAAAGGCCGGCTCTGGTTTATTTTCATATTTCTCTTGCCCACGGTTAAAGAGCCCGATGTCTGCTCCCCCGCTCCGGTCAGCGATCGTTCGCGATCACACCGCGTGGTCTGTGCGGTCAGTGGTCAGCGCCGTAGTCCGGCTCGCAGGTTCCGCTGTGTCGCAGAGCTGGCGCTGGGCGACCTGGCGGCATCGGACAGCCTGCCTTCACTGGCAGCTTTGCCTGTTGGTGGCGGGGGTCTGTAGGAGCCGAACGGCAGTGGGCACGAGAGGAGGGATGGGCTGTTTAACTTGTAAATATGCGTGTGTGAGCCCAGTACCGGTCCTCAGAAGTTTAACGTGAAATATTAGCTGGCTGGCACTGGGGTAATTTTGTTCATCGACGCACAAGGAAATCAGGAGGTTTAGCCGTGGGTCCTGATTTATCAGCTCCTTGTGAAAAATCGCAACTTCTGGCGCCGTGGCGCGGCGGGGAGGGGATTGGAGCCTCAAGAGGGAAGTCTGGCGGTCAGGGTAGGCCTGGGGACGGGGAGCTGGGACACCGGGGCCAGCCTGCAGGGACGCAGAGCAGGAGGCAGGGCAGGGTCTGTGGCATCAGAGCGCTCCTCAGGTGGAGGAGACGGCTCTCCGTGAGGGGCTCACAGATTTAAATGAAATCAGAAAAATGAAAAACCCACCTACCACAGGCTACTTCGTGTGTCTGCTCTTCGGATTTAGCGTCGGGTTATTTTAGCCAGTTCCCCCTGTGCTCTGTACTTCGCCTGTTTTACCTTTGGCCGTCATAGTTGTTTAAGAGGGAGCAGACGAATCATGGCAGAGGATAGAGACTGTCTCTGACAGAAGGGTTTACCACATAGGACGTTTAGTGAATTGAATATTCCCTTTCAAAAAATCTAATGTGAATCGTGCTAAATGACTCTTTTAGTCCAAAGTGGAGGTTTTACGAACCGTCCGTTTATGACGGAACGTGGTCTATGCAGAGGTTAGAGAGGACTGAAGCACATGGAAGACAGGCTGCACCCGGCGTTGCCGAGGGGGACACGCGCATCCTGGTGACTACGCACCAGCAAAGTGCCACTTTACTGACTTTTATGAAAAGCCAAAGCCTAAGTTGATTTGGATGAATGGTGAATAGTCTTTGGGGCAGACTGAGAATTCATTGTCCATTCTGAAAAAAATTTGTCAGAAAATTCTCTGTTTAGGATTTAAGAAGTTCTATTGTTTTTTTTTTTTTTTTTTTTTTTTTTTTTTTTTTTTGGTTCATTATTAACTTGCTACATCTAAGAACTGAGTACTTTAGAAAACTTACTGAATTTTTTTTGTGTTGAACAATTTTTGTATAGGGCACAGGTGCTCCACATCAGAGAGACAGAGAGACAGAGAGATAGAAAGTGAGAAATCACCCCCTGGGGGGATGGCCATGCCACAATCCCTTCTCCTCCATGCTCCTCGGGATCTTGGCTATGCACCATGCACACCGCCGAGTGTGTTCCAAGCCACCAGGTCCTGGACCCTTAACCACAGGGGGTCACAGAGTAGTCCAGCACCTTAACCACTGCAAGTCTTACCAAACTTTTTTCTCATTTTCTTTTCTTTTCTTTCTTTCTTTCTTTTTTTTTTTGGAGCGTTTTTTGCTATAGGGCATGTGCACTTGCCAGACAGAGACATAGAGACAGAAAGAGAGAAATCAGCCCCCAGGGGGGATGGTCACGCCGCAATCCCTTCTCCTCCATTCTCCTCTTGGGATCTTGGGCATGCACACACATGTGCCCGGCGTGAGTTTTAAGCCACTGGGTCCGGGACGCGAACTGCGGTCGACTACGTGGGAATCCAGCGACGTAGTCATTACGCTAACTGCTGGTTCCCTCTCATTTTCTTTTTAAAACATGGAAATTGAAATCTGAAAGGAGGACAGGCTGGGCCTGTCTTGCAGCTGGAGTGCTGACAGACGGTGGCCAGGCCCGGCCCACGCCTGTCACAAAGCGGGTGCCTTTGCATGCTCCTCCTCTGGCTAACGGCACAGAACTGCCCCGGGGAGATGCGAGCAGTAGGGGTACCACAGCGCCCGACACGGCTAGGGAGAGGTGCCTGGTGCCTCTCTTGCCCCTCTGCAGTGAGCGCAGGTTGGTAGGAGCAGGAATTACGGTGAGCCCTCCCAGCCGGCTGCCCGCCCACAGTCCGGGCGTGTGACATAGACGATTCCAGGTGACAGTTTGGGAAAGCCTTTCTGCATTCCTCTTCCCTTCTGCCCGGAAGTTAGACGCAAGGACGAGCTATGAGATCTCTACCCTGGAAGTCTCTCAGGAAAGGGAGAGACGTGTGATCTCGGCCGTGGCGTCCTTGACCTGCCTCTGCACCGCTGGTCCCTGAGAAGAGTCAGCCCTTACCGTAGCTGGGCCCGATTCCGCCTTCCTCGCCCGCATGCCCGCAGCGCCCGTAACCCATGTCACGTCCACGCCCATCATGGCAGATTTTCCGGGGAGCTGGGTTCTTCTCAGTGCAGTGCGACAGGGACTTGATTTCATCTCAGATCCCGGGATTTTTAGAACTGCTTCTCTCTTTTAGACTTGATTGGAGCAGCTGGGTCTCCAGCTGGAAGGGTCTTGGTTACTGCTGGAGAGCTGAAGGAAATGCACAGAAGTATTCAAAAATAGGCATTCGCGTTTCCCGCTGTTTCATCCTCTCTCTCCTGCCCAGTCCTCCCTGGCTTCCTCATCTCGCTCTGTAATCCGAATTGAAACTGCAGAGCTCCTTCCGAACGGAGAGACCTTCCAGGTGCCACAGCACGATTAGCAACATCTGGGTTGTCCAGGACAGGAATCTGATTGGCTGCCCTCCATCCCAGGGGCAGCTGTGGAGACTGGCCTTTTTTAAGACACCTACTCACGTGTGATTCACATGCAGGGAAAGCGCATGGATCATACATGCACAGGCCTGTCACTTTTCACAAACCAAGCACGTGTCTGTACCCAGCATTGACCGTGAAACGAGGGGCCTCCCGACTGCGCTCATCGGTGGCCAGACTTCTGACAGGAGAGGTGAGCTTTTACCTGTATTTGTGTGTGTGCGTGTGCGTGCGTGTGTTGCGGCTTGCTGGAGGGCACTTGCACTTGCCAGAGAGGGAGGAAACACTCCCGGGAGAGCGTGATCATGCCGCAGTCCCTGGTCCTTACCTCCCCATCTTGCTGGGACTTTGGGCACATGTGTACATGTGCCTGGCATGTTCTTTAAGCCTTTGGGGCCAGGACTCAAACTGCATGGTCAGCCAGGTGGGGTCTAGGTCCCTTAACCACTTAGACCACGGGGCCGACCGCGGTTTTTATGTGCTCGTCCTGCCTGGGCCTCCCTGATTGGTGGGATTACGGGTACCCACCAGGAGCCCGGCCTTCAGGTCGGACTCACCCGGACCTCCCATGTGGTCTCAGCCTGCAGAGCCCTGCCTTAGCAGCACAGCACCACCGCTCTGCCGCATTATCCAGAACACGCTCTGCTCGCCGCTGCCTGTGAGACCTCTCCACGCTGTCGTACTCGTATGGGACGAGGAGTGAGCATTCCCAGGCTGCGTCGCCCACTGTGACTGTACCAGCCTACCTCCTGGTGGGGGCATTGCAGCTCCAGTTTGGGCTGTTGTGAATCTGCTGCTAGAAACACCTGGATGTGTCTGGGTAAACGTGTGAGCATTCTGTGGGGGGATCCCAGGGTGACTGGCTGGGTCCTGGGCTGTTGGCCATGCATGAGCGTCAGCCTCTGCCTTCCCTCCAGTACGGCGTGTTGTCACCGTGAGCTAGGCATTGTGCCGGCGTGTGTTTCATGAGGTGCTGGTTCCTGTCTATTGAACATTTTTTCTACTGGATTGTTCGTCTTTTCTTATCATTTCTGGGAGTCCTTTTTATGTCCTGGATATAGACTGTGCATCCTTAATTGAAAATCTGAAATAATCCAAACTATGAACGTTTTTGAGCACCGGCGTGCCGCCACGAGTGG